TAGATAGATGAATATATCGTGTAAACTATTTTAATAGAAATGAGAAATTGTATAGATAGATATATAAATAAATAGATAGATGGATGGATAGATAAATGCTGTCAAACTGAGACAGATTAGATAATTACAGATAGATAGATAGATCAAGGATGGATGATATTGGATAAATGGATGGATGGAGATACTAGATGCTGAACAGATAGAAGACAGATAGATATTTTTTAGTCTGAGATGGATAGATAGATGTATTTTTGGATAGATGGATGGATTGATGCCTTAGAAACTTTTGCAGATATGATATCAGACAGACTGGGATGGATCTTTGAGATCCTAGATGGATAGAAAAATGGAGACAGATAGATAGATGGGATGGTCTTTGAGATCAAAAGGACCTGTAGATGGATACGAACAATCTGAGATGGCTGGATGGATAGATGAATAGATCCCTCATTCAGATGTGAGATGGATGGATAGATAGATATTTGGGACAGATAAAGATTTCGAACAGATAGATGGATAGATGGATAGATCCTTAAATTTTGGATGAGATGGATAAATAGATGAATAGATGTTTTAGATCAAATTGGGACAAATAATTCTGTAGAACAGTCTGGGATAGATAGATAGATAGATAGATAGATAGATGGATATTCTAGATAAATGGATGAGATGAATAGATAGATTTTCAAGATGCAATAGATGATACGAACAGTCTGAGATAGATAGATAAATAGATAGATGATAGATAGATAGATGAATTCGGAATGATAATAGATCAAACTGAGACAGATAGATAATGAACAGACTGAGATAGATAGATAGATGAATGAATAGATAGATTTTTTTTCTAAATATTGCTGTCAAACTTTTCAGATTTTTTTCGAACAGTCTGATTTAGATAGATAGATAAATGGAATTCTTAGATAGATAGATAGATAGATAGATAGATAGATGCTTTCAAACTGAGACAGATAGATACGAACAGACTGAGATTTTCCTTCTAGATAGATAGATAGATGAATTAGATAGATGGATAGATATATATAGATGAATACTGTCAAGCTGAGACAGATAGATACATTAACAGTCTGATATAGATAGATAGATAGATAGATGAATAGATAGATGAATAGATAGATGAATGAATGCTGTCAAACTGAGACAGATAGATACGAACAGTCTGATAGATAGATAGATAGATAGATAGATAGATAGATAGATAGATGAATGCTGTCAAATAGACAGATAGATACAGACAGACTGAGATAGATAGATAGATAGATAGATAGATGAGAATAGATAGATAGATAGATAGATGAGATGATAGATAGATGGATGGATGGATACTGTCAATGGGACGGATAGATACAGACAGTCTGAGATAGATAGATAGATAGATGGATGGATGGATAGATAGATAGATGGATAGATGAATAGATCAGAGCTGAGACGGATGGATGCAGACAGACTGAGATGGATGGATAGATGGATGGATGGATAGATGGAATGGATAGATGGATGGAATGAGTCAAACTGGGGACGGATGGATGCAGACAGTCTGAGGATGGATGGATGGATGGATGGATGGATGGATGGATGGATGGATGGATGGATGGATGGATGATAGACAGATCAAACTGGGACAGATGGATACGAACAGTCTGAGATGGATGGATGGATGGATGGATGGATGGATGGATGGATGGATGATGGATGGATGCTGTCAGACTGGGAGACGGATAGATGCGGACGGACTGGGATGGATGGATGGATGGATGGATGGATGATAGATAGATGGATGGATGGATGGATAGATGCTGTCAATAGACTAAGGACAGATAGATACAGACAGTCTGAGATAGATAGATAGATAGATACGATAGATAGATGAGATAGATGGATAGATGAATGCTGTCAAACTGGGACAATGAATAGAACAGACTGAGATAGATAGATAGATAGATAGATAGATAGATAGATAGATAGATAAAAAGTTCAATGCATTTATCTTCCAAATTTCCAAGTTTCGCAGATGTACCTTTTGAATTTATGCTTATACTTACAGAAATAATTAGATAAGCAGGTAATCATGTCCTCTGCCCCAACAAACATTCAAACAGACCAAACCACACAACCTCGTACAAATGCACATATAGAGGCGTCACCCAGAAAAAGACCTGTCTGGAAATCCAAGCTCTGTCTTTCGACAAAAACAACATATTTGTGTGTGTGTGTGTGTGTGTGTGTGTGTGTGTGTGTGTGTGTGTGTGTGTGTGTGTGTGTGTGTGTGTGTGTGTTTCAGATGTCGGTTTCGAGAGATCTTGGATATGCACCCAAAGAGTTATGCCTCAGTAGCTGATGGAAGTGCAGCATCTGTTTTGACTGTACAGTAAGACACGATTGCAATGAATGCGTGTTAAGACTCTCTTCCCCCCCGATGTCGACGTGTTGTTTTCTTTCCATCGACAAGATCCTTCGGTAACAAACCAACAGCGTTTCTCCTTTCCTCCTCCAACCTTGCGTCTTCCATGACCTCTCGATGTCCATGTTCATCGACTTCATTGGGAATTTTCCCAGACATACTTGAAGGAAGGGTCCTCTTCGGTTCAATAATATATATATATATATATATATATATATATATATATATATATTGTATATATATATATATATATATATATATATATATATATATATACAAAAGGAGAGAGAAGGGGAGAGGAAAAATTGCGTGAAAAGCGAAGAAAAGAAATAATCTTCAAACACAGATCTACAAATTTAAATAATTTTATTGTGTATAAAAATAATTTTTGTTTTCTTTAAGTTGAATGAAATAAGTTATAAAGTTCCTCGAAAACAAAGTTCATACGCAAAATGTTTGTTTTTTCTTTTTAAAACACAAAAGAAATGAATTGTCTTAGTTTAAGGTGAAAGGTATATATGAATTCATCATGCGAACATCCACAATTTACGTTATGTTTTCTCTGTATATGATGTAATATTATTCTCTACTGCTTCCAAAATTAGGTTTTGTTTATATATCTCGCTTGGATATTTTCATAATGAAACTGTGCAAACAGTTTTATGAAAATATTTTAAAAGTAATAAATAATTTGCAAGTAGGAATTAATTGCTCAATAATTTAATTTGAGTATGAGAAAATTTGAGAATTCCGTATTGCTTACAATCGCTGGTCAAATTATATTGAAGACTGGATACTATTAATTTACGTTGCGCTATTTAGAAGAAAAAATCGGATCATAGGAAGTTAAAAGTTATACGTACTAAACTCAGAAGTATTATTAGTTAATCAATATATTACCTAATTTCTAATTTCGATTTTTCAGCGGGAAAAGATTGTTAATTTTTTTTCTGGCAGCGATCCTTCAATTTTATTTTAACAAACAAGAATGGTTGTCTGCTTTTTTCAAACGCCTTGAGACAACGTCGTTGATTGGTTAATAAATGCGCATGCTTGAATTTGAAGTTCGTGTGGTCGTATTTTTGCACGGAACTAAGATGAAGTCGGTGTGATCCGACTTTAACACAGAATTTTTAAAAAATTAGTGATACTACTTAAATCTATTGTATTTTCTACAATTCAAATTATGAGTTTCTCCACATACACATACACACACACACACACACACAATATATATATATATATATATATATATATATGCATTGTTCATTTTTTGCATGATCTTTCGCATTCCATTCCCCTTAACTATTAAATTTGCTGTTATTTAAAAAAGCTTAGTTCCGTTAGGCATAAGGCCACAACGATGGAGTACCTTGTGAGGATCGAAGCCACTATTCAGTCGTAATAGATAGCCCGACTATCTCGTTAACCTTTAAGTTATGCATTCATCATTTGTTAGGTTACAGTTCTAATAATCGCTTTTTAAAACAATAAAAATTGCCGAGGAGTGAAGGTAGTTAAAATAATAGCGATGTCAAAGGAAAAACCGTCCTTTTGACACCGCATTTTTTTTTTTTGCAGGAACGAAGATACAAGTTTGCTAAAAAATAAATTTAAAAAATCTCCCATTTAATTATAGACTGCGAAGTCGCGAAGAATCATGACTGCAAAATTACAACCCCCGAAAATCATAGCTCGACTGTAAATAAAAAATCTGCCCGTTCTTAAATTAAGCTCGACTGAATTTTGAGTAACAAAATTCGTCCATTTTTGTGAATATTTTGTTTACCTCAGTCGACAAAATTAAACTCAGAATATCCTGTTTTTCTTTGTTATATATATATATATATATATATATATATATATATATATATATATATATATATATATAATATTTTATTTTTTTTCGCCGCCTATCTTCGAGGGGTGGGGACAGGCAACCATTGTGAAAAGTATTCCTAAATTTTCGTTTCCCAGTCAACGCATAAAAAATATATTGAATAATAATGGTGGAAAGCGAGCAAATGGAAAAAAAATGGTCGTCTGGACAGATATGTGCATTTTTACGAGAATCAATGATTTGGTCAATAATATGAGCCGATAAAAAAAAAAAAAAAAGTATTTGGAGCTTTCTATTTGTCACTAAGAAATAAATCCGGACGAGACACAAACCCCCTCCCGCCCCACAATACGAGAAATTGTTTTTCATGGATGACGTCTTAACGAGGGAGATACCCGTTCCAACATGATTTGTGGCGTTTTTTTGTTTTTTTCTTGTTTTTTTATTTTAGATAAAATTTTTAAACATCTCAAAACAAAATCGTCAACACAAATAAATAATACTGCCATCGTTAACTGATCGTGAACGTCGTTCCTTGCTGCTGCTGCTGCTGCTGCTTTTATCAATTTTTTTTTTTTTATTGTTTATATTCTTTTGGAAAATGCTGCCAACCTGCACTCGAACCACTTTATCTACTCTAAACACCTCCACTCAAAATAAAATAACCAATGGGAAAAATGAATTAAAAAAAAAAAGAATGAAAGGAGAAAAGAAACAGAAGAAGAAAAAAAATCTCATTGTTGTAAAAAGAGTTGTGGCAGATATTCAAATGCTCGGAACAAAAATGGCGCAAGATAATATTTTGCGCATGTGCAGTGGAAAAGGCGGGAAAATAAACGTCGGCCAATGGTGTAAGTTTTATGATTTGAATCGACCGCTGAAAAATTGACTGTACCTTATAATTTTTGTCTTTTTTGTACGGATGAACATTTACAACTATATCGCTACACACCTTTCCTTAAAACCCATACACACATAATTACATATATATATGTGTGTGTGTGTATATATTATATATATGCAATTATATATATATATATATATATATATATATATATATATATATATAGATATGTAATTATATATATGTAATTATGTATTATATATATATATATATATATATATATATATATATGTATGTATGTATATGTGTATGTGTGTTTTTGTGTGGATACAAAGTAAGTGTACAGTAATGAAAAACAAAACGTTTGCACAAGTCGTTTTGTATTAAAAAAAAAAAACTAATTTTACTCATTGTATCCATTTGACTACTGTATATTTACTTTTGCAGCACCACACACGAATATATATATATATATATATATATATATATATATGCGTGTGTGTGTGTGTGTGTGTGTGTGTGTGTGTGTGTGTAAATGATGAGTCAAAATGGAAAAGCTTTAAAATGGCACTTATTTATATATATATATATATATATATATATATATATATATATAAAAACAAAAAAAATTTTTCCGGTTTCTGGTCGTCGAATCTGACAAAGTAATTTAATTTATTGCCACTCATATCCAGAAAAAAAAACATAATGCATTTACCTTACACGCGGTTTTGTATTTCATTCTAACCTAAGGAAGCCAAACCCAACAGTCATCGGCGAAACGCGTCGTTTATAAGCTTTTCCACATTGTTTCATCATCACCGCTACTTTTGTTTCGAATACTACAGGGTGAATGAAAAGTAACTCCCTATTTTATGTATGATGGACTCACCCGTCTTGTAAAAATTATAGTTAGACGGAAGAGTCCATGATACATGACATAGGGAGTTATTTTTCAATCACCCTGTATTAAACAGCCTTCAAACACGGACGCAGACACACACAAACATATATAATTTGTGAAACATCTACTCTGTCGATGAACTTGGGGTTTATAAACTACACACACACACACACAAACACACACACAAACAAACACATACACACACACACATATATATATACTGATACAGCTACACATGCGCAGAAAGAAGAGGAGACGCTGAGAATTGTAAATTTAAATATAATGTTTATAATATATGTTCTGTGTATATAGTCCAACCGATTCATTCAGTTTCTATTTCATTTCGTTTATTTTATTCCTGTTATTAAATATCCCACATTGTGATAATAGATGACCTTTTAAGAAAGGTGAAATGTTGCACCAACCATCACACCAGTCCCATGAAGTCCTAATATATATATATATATATATATATATATATATATGAAAAAAATATATACGGAAAAAAACAAACAAAAATCCTATATGCAATTATGCTGTTTTAATGTCAATATGTCAACGTCGGACGTTTCGGTCTAATAAACCATCTTCAGGACATATTCATAAAATATAATTAACATTATTAAGGGGTTTTTGTTTGTTTTTTCCATATATATTTTTCTTTATACTGTCGGATCTATATACATATATTTGCTTACATATATATATATATATATATATATATATATATATATATATATATATATATATATATATATATATTTCCCCAATTTGTGACTGTAGGGATAATTTCAAGGAGGATATTAATCCAGAGAGAGCTCAATGTAAACTACAGAGCATTATATTAATAATGAATCAAGAAGGAAACCATAAAGTTCCATTTTGGTTATGATTTATTTCGTTAACATCTCTATATATTCATCTCTTCAGACCGAAAGTTCTTAATAAATGGAGATAATTCACACGGAGTGATATAACAGATTAACAGGAGGAAGGGAAAGAAACACACCACATCAAACCAATGTACAAACTTTCAACCCTTTAAGGAAAAAATTATTAGCCAGGTAATTCTATTTTAGTTTTGCTACTATCCCTTCGTTTCTTCCTTCTTCCCTTTTCCTTCCTTTCTATATATCTCCCCACCCTCTCTCTTTCTTTCAATATTTCCCGTTTTAAAAAGAATTTTATATTCGAAAATCCGCTATTTTTCTTTCTACACCTCCCTCTTTCTTCTCTTCTTTCTTACTTTCCATTCCTCCTGTTAATCTAGTATATAAATCCGGAGACATTATCTCCAGTTATTAAGAACTTTCGATCTGAAGAGATGAATATCGAAATATTCACGAAATAAATTATAACCGAATTGGATCTTTAAAGTTTTCTTCTTGATTTATCATATATATATATATATATATATATATATATATATATATATATATATATATATATGCAACAGTGAAAGTTCAGTTGTGATATATTTTTTATTTTATTTATCCATGCCAGATTCCTAATAATCTTTCTGATTTTCTGTTGGCGTTGGAATATGGAATTGTCTATAACTGGATATTCAAAACATCAGAAAATCAGAAAAGTATTATAAATGCCAAAAGCATAAATAAAAAAAGAATTACCAATACGGAATTTTCTCTACTTTTCATTGAAACATGCTGCATAAACGAAAATTGCTGCCCTAATACACTCAAATGATATATATATATATATATATATATATATATATATATATATATATATATATATATATATATATTAATTTAAAAAAAAACAGACCATTTAAGGCTCCATTGTAATAATTTATTTCACCAGAGAATTTTATTTTTCTCTGGATCCTCAGATTTCACTTTCAAAAGGTGAAATGTAAAATGAAATTAAAATTTACACTTTTGACGGGCAGTATTAAGGTTATATAAGTTAACATAGAGGGTGGTGAGGGCTGGTGTGAGAGACATGGTCAAGTTTAGAGAGGGAAAGAAGAGTTTTAAAATTTATTTTTATATTTCTTTTTATAATACTTAATATTGAGGAAGGAGGGGGCAAGGATCAGACATTGACCTATTTAATCGGTCAACTCAACGGAAATGATATGGGGAAAGGAAAAGGAGAAAAAAAGGAAAAAGAAAAAAGTGGGGAGTAAAGAGATAAGCGATGTACTTAGGGTTTTCAGAGGAAGACGAGGGGTGGTATAGCTTTAGCAATTTAGATAAAAATTGATTTTAACGTTTGATAGTATTTAAATGTCTAAAAACACGACAAATAAAATAAATTTGATGGTTGTTAGCAATTTAAATATTCAACTTCTCCACAATTAAATTAGGGATTTAATATAAGTTGAATACTATATTAATAAACAACAATAATAAACATATAAAAAAGTTACTGATAGTAATATTTGAATATTTTGAACGACTGTTAAGGTAAAATCTTTATCAGTTAGAGTCTAATTCAAGAATTTAGTTTGAATTTAGTTTATATATATATAAAATCCTGTTTTACGATGCACGATGTTCCTTATTTTATAAATAATAATAAATTAATTTAGTCCCAATAATAAATAGGACGAAATACTATTAATACTATTAATAAAATAAGTAATAATTTTGTAATGAATAGTACAGCATGCAGACATAGTGGAAATGGTTGACGTCAAAATCATAGCTATGTGTCTTACTAGAGTGACATATGCTGTTGAAGTCTTCGTTCCCTAATCAGTAAAGCATTGTAACAGTAAGATAGACTCCCAGTGGGAACAGATGTGGTATCAAATCTCTCGAGATGTATATTGTTTATTTCTGAGCCACAATTAATTTACGGACCAAACTTTTTAATTTTTAATTCCTCGAAGACATTTAAAGAATTTACATATTAAGAGTGAAACTGAAATTAATATGTGACTCAGACATTATTAAGGATTACCAAATGAATACTAACTGATAAGGCATCATCTCAGAAACTCAGATAACTTAAAACTATTAATTTTTTTATCTCGTGAATCGTTGTGTACTGCAGTGGTGTTTCTTCGACAAGATAGTCTGACGTAGACTAACCCTCGCCAGGCTGGTTTTGAATTCAGAGTTTTCCTTCTCTTAGATAAAGGCTATAGAACCCAGGCTATTTACCCAGAAGAAGGATTCATATATTTCCCAATGGTATTAGCATGTTAGTGAATGTAATGGAATGACTGGAATTCGAACTCGGCTCTCCCTCAATCTGAACCACCATCCATTACTCCACCATGCCTCCTATTAAGAGTATTATAATTTTGGTGAAAGATCAAGAGAAATAAGATGAAAAAATGCTAGTCAAAAATTAATATTAAGTAACCTTAGCTCAGAAATTCAGACAGCTAAATTAAGACTATTACTACTTGGTGGAGAAGCAAGAGAAATAAGATGAAAGAAATACTAGTCAAAAATGAATAATAATTGACAAGGCTTCATCTAAGAAATTCAGACAACTTAAGACTATTACTACTTGGTGAAAAAGCAAGAGAAATAAAAGAAATACTAGTCAAAAATGAATACTAATTGACAAGGCTTCATCTAAGAAATTCAGACAACTTAAGACTATTACTACTTGGTGGAGAAGCAAGAGAAATAAGATGAAAGAAATACTAGTCAAAAATGAATAATAATTGACAAGTCTTCATCTAAGAAATTCAGACAACTTAAGACTATTACTACTTGGTGAAAAAGCAAGAGAAATAAAAGAAATACTAGTGAAAAATGAATAATAATTGACAAGTCTTCATCTAAGAAATTCAGACAACTTAAGACTATTACTACATGGTGAAAAAGCAATAGAAATAAAAGAAATACTAGTCAAAAATGAATAATAATTGCCATGGCCTCATCTAAGAAATTCAGACAACTTAAGACATTTACTAGTTAGTGGAAAAGCAAGAGAAATAAGATGAAAGAAACACGAGTCAAAAATTAAGACTAATTAACAATGCTTTACCTAGGAAATTCAGACAGC